ACGAAAGGGGGAGACGATCCCTTTTGGGGGCCAAATACCTCCGATCTCTACCGTAGGTGCCAAAGAAGAATGAGAAGAAGCCCGAAAAAAAGCAAAAAGGAACATAACCTCCGATACGATAAACAGAATAAAACCATATCGAGGTCCTAATTGTACGACTTTGGTATGATGTCATTCCAACGTGGATTCACGTAGAACATCGCGTCACCATACGAACATGGTATATAGGATAAATATGAGGCCCAAACTTAGAAGTGTTGCACCCCCTTGAAATGAGTGCATGTACATCACACCTCCTACGGTGGTTGCCAAAGCTCCRAGTGAACCCGAAATAGGCCATGGACTTGGATCTACCAAATGATAAGAATGCCTCTGAGATTCAATCATAAACCACTTCGCGTTATTAACGGGAAAAAAATGAAGATTTATGAATTTTTCATCATTGGATTAAAATTATTTTTTGAAGAATTACTTTAAAGTTTATTTTTCCAATAAGAAATTCCTGAGAATCACTTTAGAATGTCTTTAAGGTAGTTTAGTTTATAGAAGTAATACAACCAAATATTTTATAGAATGTCTATTCTATGTAACTAAAATAGTTTAACCCAACAATATTTTAATTAAAATTATTTTTACAAAAAGTGTTCTAAAAAGAAATAAATTTTTAAAAAGTGTTTAAATATAAGAATAGAGCTTAGTGTAATAAGTTATAGTTTAGGAGGTTTTTCTTACCTGTATTATTTTCCGTTTTGTTAGAACAAAAGCAGAGAAAATAAAGGAAAATGAAAATAAACGGTCCAAACACAACAATATCGTTATTCTTTAAAACAATTTTATTCTCTCTCTGTACTTAAAAGTATCATGAACAATTATCTCCCACAATAGAACCAAATACCAACTTGTGAATGCAGCGCTCCAATCATAGAACTCAACGAACACTAGTATTTAAGTAACCATACAAAGAAAATGTGAGAATAATTTTTTTGTCACTACAACTGAAATTGAATCACATATTTATAAACTATTTATGGCCATTTAAATAATTATAAACTATTTGATAAAGGACATATCTTTTCACATAAGGTTATCCTTCACAAAAGACACATTTTCTCAAGAAAAGTTATGGTCATTCAAAAAATTATAACAATCTCCCACATGAATAAAATTTATTCAAAACAAAAAATAAATAAATAAATAAGATTACTTAGGAAGAATAACTCCTTTAGGATAAGTAGTCTAATGATTTTGAACTTTATTTAGTAAGTGTTGGAACAATTAGGATTAAAAGAAAAAGATCGTTGTAGCATGGACGAAGTCACTGTACTGAAAGCAATTTCGGCACGACCATAGTGCTACATCGTATGCTTGCCGATTGCTCCCCAAGGTTAACACAACTTCGAACTCAAGCGTTCACTCGTCAGAGCCTAATGGAATCGAAAAACATGATCAGAAAAATGTTGTTACTCTATTTTAAAACAAAAACACGACTCTATTTATGTCGAAACAACACGTTATTTTTTGTAGTTTAAAAAAATAGTAAAGTTAAAAATAGCATACTCTAAATTTAACAACTTTAAAAATAGCTAGAAGACTAAATCTTTTAAGGACAATTTAGCCATTCCTAACAATACTCCACGAATGACTAACTAGTTCTTAAAAAAAAAATCATTTTTTGAGCAATGAAGAAAAATAAACTTAAGGATTAATATCTTATGATTTGAACTAATGCATAGTGAAGTGAGACAACAACCTAAATAATGAAAATGAGTTGTGTCTTGAACTTCTAGTAATTATGATTGAGATCCTCACAACACATTTTATTCCTTGTTTTCCGCGATATAAATCAACTGCTATTAATGGTCATGCACATAAAACCTTGGATCATTATGAAAGCTTTAGAAAGATATCATTTAACTCTTTCATAGTAGGTGACTCACCTTCACAATCACGTTATTGTTTCATCAAGTCTATCACAATAAACCACTAAAAAATTGAGCTATAAAAACTTCATATATCATCCATCAAGTCCATACAAACCACCAAAGTAAAAGGCTATGGATTCTCACACTACAACACAACATAGATGTATTATCCATCAAGTCTATACAGACCACCCAAATAAAGGACTATGGATTTTCATAGTACACCACACACATAAGTGTATCAGTATCATAGAAACTAAAGACTCAAGAATGACCCTCCTTGTTAGGCATTTGGTAAGAGCATCCACTAAGTTCCTCATACTCAACGGAAATAACTTCACATTTCAGCAACTATTCCACAGCTTCATTACTTAGATAAGTCTATCAATTTCCATTTGTTTTCAACCCAAAACGTGGTTAACAGAATTTAATTTCACAGGATTATAATCATAATATCTCAAATTAATTATTCTACCAATAACTAATTTAAATTCATATAATCATGTTAATAAACTTCACCAAGAATATATTTTTCCACAGTTTGATAAATAATTTAAATAACATCATCTCATCGTTAATTGAAATTAGATGTAATTAACCAATAAATTCACAAATTTCACCTTCAAGAATGACTCATGAAACTTCAAAAGGAAATAAAAGCAACAATTATACATCATATAATATACAACTTATTCCTATTAAGATCATAGACCTACTCACAATAAAAATATTCATAATGAATAATTTTATATGTTCAATCAAAATAAGACTATATATTCAAGTATAGTCAAGCAAGATCTCAAACCACCACTAAATTAAGATAAACTTAAATTGAGATACTTCATTACCTCAATTTTCTTCTTCATAATTTTAAACTACATCTTAAAACAACTGTAGCAATTATTTCAATTATAATAAATAATTGCAATATTACAAAGAAGAAAATAGAGAAACTTGTTTTAGCTCATACATAAAATTATCAATAAATATCATGCTCAATTTTTGACAATGATATGAGTAATTGTTAAAAACCTCATCAGACAGTTAAAAGATTTAAAAATTTTACGCTCATAATATAGGAAAAATCAACCTATATAAAACATAATTATGTAGCGAGAAGAATCATCCAAATATTTTCAACTTAATTTTGACATAACCAATTAACAGATTTATATCAAATCATTTATGCATGAAAAATTATATTATCGCACAAGTCTCAATAATATAAAATATGAAATTCACCTATTCAGCTTTCTTTCTTCTTTCCCATATTTGAAAATTTTCCAGTGGTCTCCCCCATGATCGTGGCATTTGCGCATAATCGTGTCTGTCAAACGTGTCAGACCGATCGACAATTCTATAAGATAGAAAGTAGAGAGATTATAAATTTAAAAGAAAATAGCTATCACATAATTATCGTAAGAAGAAAACAAAATGTTAAAGGTTTTGAATTCTCTTTTGAATAAGACAAAAGAGGCTTCTTTCCCCATCTTTTTCCTTCTCGTCTTACCATCGTGCCCCCCATTTTTCTTTTTCTTTTTTTTTTTCAATCCTGAAAGGACGTGTATCCCCGTGTATAAGCAGTAAAACACGTTCTTGAATTTCTTTTGAAATTTAAAACACAGAAAAATATAAAACAGAGAAGAATGTTGGATTTTACCTTTGAAGACTCTTCTTCGTGTAAACCTAATGAGATAACATCATTTGATCTTCCTTGCTAAGTCTCTCAGTCAAGAATCTAGATTGGGTGACCCAATTGCAAGGGATTGAAAGAGTAAGAGAGTTGAGAGATTTTTTAGCCTACCTTTAGGATTCAGCTTACTGTTATATTTATAGAGGAAAAAGCCTATGACCTTAGGATATCTTTCTCTTTTGAATTCCTAATGTAAAAATTTGAAATTTTTCTCATCTATAACACTAGTCCCCACTCTCAAAATACATAGTATTAATTTTGAATCTTTATCCAAAATTAAAAAATATTTATATAATGTATTATCAATATACATTATATACATTCCCTTATATAATTTCAACATTTCAAATTATTTCATAATTATTGATCGTCGTTTTATCCATTTTGAGCTAGCAATGGGACCTAATAGATCTACAGATCAGAAGCACTAATGATGCGACATTAATCAGTCAAACTCATTAACCGAGTTAATCAACATTCGTTAACTCCCCATTTTTTTTCTTTCCTGTCTTTCCTTTCTTCCAGCCACTCTCTTCTTCTTCATTTTTCCCTTTCTTTTCTTTCTTTTCTTCTAGCGGCTCCAAAGACCCCATTTCTTTCAATCTTAACCACCACCTTTGATGTTCCGAGCCATCTTTGACCATCTCCAACCAGCGGTGACCCACCACGGGCATCGGCACATAGCAGCTGGCGACGATAAGATCCGGTGTTCCGTTCAATCAGAACAGATCCGAGACTTCGGTGTAGTGACCACGAGCAAATCCATTCTCGATCTGCATCCCTCAAACAGCGATGGCTTTGCCTCGAGCAGATCTATGGCAACCTCAGCGATACACAAATGGAACGGGCAGATCCACACTAGCGAGATCTGGCGTGTCCCATCTGCGGCGTTCTGCAGATCCGAGGACGTTGGCATATGTCAATAGATTCAGTC